TGCTGCCTACCCATCAATCTCTTCTTTTGTGTCTTGCTGAGGGGTGTGGCCACTGAGATGCACAGGGAGGCTGTTGGGAGGCCCTCTCATGCCCCTCCCCTCTTCCTCCTGCCAGCTTCCTGGATCAGAGAGAGGGTGGCTGTAGCCCAGCAGGCACACTGTGTCACAACACAAACATCAAAGATGGAAACCAGGCTGGTCTGGCAGAGCAGAAGGTAGGAAGAGCCTGGCTCTGATGAGCGGTGAGCCCGCCTACAGCCCTGGACTGCGTATCTTCGAACTTCCTCTACTTGGGAAAAAATAAAGTGCTCCCTTGTTTAAGCTGCTGTTCCTTCTGGTCTCTGTTACTTGCAGTTGTGTGCAGTTCTTAACTGATAGACTTGAGGAAGTTTATCAGTTGAGACCCTGTTTGTGGAGTGCGGTGCAGTGTCTGTCCATCATAAGCACTTGTACCAGCTTGTACTGTCATTTGTCGTTCCTGAGTAAAGGTACCAACAGAATTCTAAATTCCACCACAATCGAAATCAAATGCACCTTGGGAAAGATTTTAAGCACCTATGGAGTTATCGAATGGATCTCTCCCCAAAGCATTTATTGCTAATATTCTGCTAACATTGAAATATTGGGGCCAGATAAAAAATTACCCAAAGGGAAAAAAGTGACCTCTTTTCTAAAATAGGTTGCTTTTAATTCAAGGAAAAATTTCAGTGGTGCTAGGCAACCCTCACATGTGCTACATTCACAATGGAAAATAAGACCCGAAATCTCTACCACCAGGCGTGAACACCAATATTCCCCTCAAACCAGTCACCTCGTCTTACTTAGAAGAGGTGCAACAAAATGGATACTTCTCCCTGAAAACGCACCTGTTGCTGTGCATGATGTTACATTGCAAAATCAGTATATTTTAGAGGAAGGAAGCTTCCAGACTTCAATTCTTCCAAGGGAGTAGTTAGTGCAGAGAGTAGGCATGAGATAAAAGGGCCGTCAGTGGTGCATGACTCACTCCAACTACACCACGGCAGTGGTCAGTGCCTGCCAATTTCAACGTCAGTCTTTATAATGCATGGTTCTTGAAGAAGGTCAAGGCCATGGTGGGCTTCCCACTGTCAGGGGAAGTTGCCAAGAGATGGAAGAAACCAACGTACAAGTTTACCTGTAACCTGAAAGTCCTTACTCCTGCTTATTAGGTTATACAGGTTCTTCAACAACAGGATTCCTTTGGTGGGCATACGGGGGGTTTCATCACTGAAAGATTCCCAGGATTTTGGCATTCACATCTGCACATCGTAAAGTCATTCCAAGTCATTAAGCAGTCACTCAATGCCAACTCAAAATTAGTTACCAGACACAGAGAGCATTTTCTTAATATGTTTTAACGAAAAGTCTCATAAAGAAAGAAGAGGACAAAATGGGTCACAGAGAAGGGTATGAGGAACATTACTAAGAGAAAAAGCTTATGACCTCAACTCTGAAACAGAATGTTGGAAAAGTTGACTTGACATCTGTTCTATGGATGGATGGATGGATGGACGGACGGACGGACGGATGGAAGGATGGATGGATGGATGGTTGAATGGATGAACAGACAGACACTTGAATGGATGGATGGATGAAGAAATGGAAGGATAGATGGATGGATAGTCTGTTAGACCAACCCAAGAAAGGAAGGAAAAACATGGGAAGAATACTTCACATCTCTTGTCACCAGTTCCTCAAGATCTACAATGGGAAAGAACCCATGATATACCTTGAGAAAACTTGATAAGAACTGAGATATTGGGGATTTACTCTGAAACTCAAAGGCATAGATGGAGTTCAAGCTTCATTACAATAAATTCTAAGGGATTGTCTGCCATTTTATTCTACAATGTGTTGCTGCACTGAATTTTTAGCCGTAAATAATTGGACCACTGTGGATCATTGTTAAACTGAACTCTTTGTGTGTGCAGTGTAATTTGTTTTTGCAATGTCAGTGGTGAAAAGGGTAAAATTTTCATATTCCATCTACCTTCAGCCAAGCATTAACAGTCAAACGCCCACAGAAGCAGAAAAAATAAACCCTGGTACATGTTGCCCGTAAGAGAATTTCTTACCTCTGTATATCCCTTGGAAAGCGTTTCAACTTCAGGCCCTTTAGCTCCCTTTACCACGGCCAAGTCTTGCACTGAAGCTGGACCATTGCTGGCCTCTCAGGGCTCTGGACTCACCTCCACCAGGAGCCTGGCCCCCCTCATCTTGCCCTCCCCGTTCTTCTCAGGTTGTGAACAGGATTCTTTAAGGAACTCCCTCATCTCCTGGGAAAGTGAGTGACAGCTTGGTCACACCCCTTCTCATCTGCCCTTCACCCGATCCCCTTTATTTATTGACTTATTTTCTGAACATTTTATTGTGGCTTAGGTGAAAGTTTACAGACCAAATTAGTTTCCCATTCAACAGTTTATACACAGATTTTTTTCATAACACTCATTGCAATCCCCTCAATGTGTCAGCGCTCTCGCATTTCCACCCTGGGTTCCCCATTTCCATCCGCTCAGTTTTCCTGCCCCTTTCAGCCTTCTGGACTTTGCTTTTGGGGGAAATACTGCCCTTTGGGTCTCATACGGTTGATTGTTCTGAGGAACTCATTTCTCACTGATGTTTTTGTTCGCTTTATAGGCCTGCCTATTGTTTGGCTGAAAGGTGATCTCTGGAAGTGGGTTCAATTCCAAGTTTGAAGGGTGTCTGAAGACCATAGTCTCAGGGGTTCCACCAGTCTCTATCAGACTAGTGAGTCTAGTCTTTTTTTTTTTTTTTTTTAATTTTGTTCTACACTTTTCTCCCACTCTGTCTGGGACCCTCTGTTGCGATCCCAGTCAGAGCAGTTGGTAGTGGTAGCCTGGCACCATCTAGTTCTGGTCTCAGGCTAGGGGAGGCTGTAGTTTGTGTGGCCCATTAGTCCTTTGGACTAATTGTCCCCTTGTATCTCTGGTTATTTCACACTCCTTTGCTCCTAGTGGGGAGAGACCAATAGTTGTATTCACCTGTTCTCTTTTTAAAGGGGAGATGACACCTCTCATGAAGACAAAGACTGCCAAACCTTTGAAGAAATTAATGTGCTGTTCTCAGGAAGGCTGGGGAATTTCTGACAGAGCAGGGCTCTAGACAAGGGACAGAGGGAAGGTTTGCCCTTTGAAACACTGTCTTGAAACCATCACTATGTTTCGGGTTAAAGGGCAAGAGGCTGGTGATCAATCTAAGCCTAGAATAGTACTTTTAGATAGCTGTTGGGAAGGGGGCAGTAGTGAGCAGATAAACTTGAAGCTGCCCAGTGACTCTGAAGTGGGATTTACTGGGCTTCCTATGTTGTTGTTAGGTGCCATTGAGTTGGTTCTGACTCATAGTGACCCTGTGTACAACTGAATGAAACACTGCCCAGTCCTGCACCATCCTCACAATCATTGCTATGTTTGAGCCCATTGTTGCAGCCACCGTGTCAATCCATCTCGTTGAGGGTCTTCTTCTTTTTAGCCACAATTAATATCGTGCTTTAGTTGGTTCTTTTATTCAGTCTACACCATTGACTGAGTACCGCCTCGTGCCTGAGATTTCTAGCCTCCTTCCACAATCCAGAGAGGTCACGATCACTATCCTCATTTTGGCCACGGGGGACACAACTCCACTACACTACTTACTGACTGGCATACAAGAGGAAGTATCGGAGTTGGGTCTCAAGCATATACATCTCCTGACTCCAACTTTCATTCTTGTGCCCAACCTGTTTAAATCAAGAAATGAATATTTGTTGAGTACCTAACATGTACCTTAAACTGCACATGGTAAGTGCTTGCACTGATGTGGAAGGTGACCTGGACATTCCTTTAGGTATGAGTGGTGGCACCCCCACGGGCACCGGCCAACCCTGCTACAAGGTGGGCAGGTGGGGTTTAAAAACCCAGAGCCTATTCCAAAAGACGATTTTGAATTTGGGTAGTATGTCTGGATTCTTATTTACTAACCAGGAAAATCTGTTATAAGATACTGTGTGAAAGTACTTTGTAAAGCACTACGCAAGTGTTAATCATACTTAATTCCACCAGCATAGTTACCATAGAGATTATAATTAACCTGGATAAAGGTCATTCAGAAAAAACAGTCAATAGAATGTGTGTTATCCCACACCCAGGTATTAGGAGTTTCCCAATCCAGGCGCCCTAAGAGATGACTTTGGGGCTGACGGGCCCAGAGGGTAATGGGCAGAATATCTGGCTATCTCCTTCTGGGCATGCCATGTTCCAGAACTTGTTGGAGCCAGCATCTCCTCTTCCAGTTGCTCCAACATTATGAGCGTGGATACGAAACAAAGTCCCCGGTGATGTCATGTTGTCACACTTCATTCCACAGGATTTAGCAACGCAGAGAGCACCATGGGGGCGAGTCCTCCCTCCACAGAGAACATGAGCCTCTCTTCCTTGTCTGAACTGAACACTCGTGAGAAATTTCTTAATCCTGTAACACTAAACCCAACAAAGGAAAAGGTGTTTGAGGAGGTGGGACATGAGGAAAGAAAGCAAACGTAATCCTTCTGTGGGGTTAGCTTGTGTCCTTTTGTTGTTCAGCCTCGGCCTATAATCATCAACACCAAATTTTAAGGAATAATTTTGAATAATGACATCTTAAAGAAAAAGTGAATGACCTAGATGTTTATTTTCTTGAACATAGTATTTAAAATATTGTCAGAAAACATCAAGTTAGCAACCTCCTGCCCCCCACCACGTCTTAATCATTGTATTATTTGATCATTAAGACCATACATAAAGTCAAAGTTCTTCCTCTAAGACGTGGTTGAGTCATATCAAAGCCCATGGCTTATGACCAACAATGTATGGCTTCGCGCCTCAGATCAGCCACGAACAATCATGCTTTGAACGCCTGGCACAGGCTGGCCTTCAAGACAAGACTGACTTCCTTCTCACGCACAGAAGTTGGTGTGGGAGGTGGGGCTGCCACCAGACCAGAAGCTACTCCTCCGCCGTCCCGTCCAGGATGTGTTTAAAGGAGAACGGAGAAAACTTATAACCAGCCCCGACATAGAACTTGTTCTGGAACTCCACCCTGTTGTTGGGGGACAAGAAAAAGGGGGATTAAACACAGCAGCTGGAAGCTGGCAGCTTGAGGGAAGAAGCAGAACATCAGGAAATCCGGGTCAGTGAGGCAGGTGTGGGGAGGGCACCCAGGCTGACGGCCGCCACTGGAATCCCAAGGCCTCCAAGGCCTTAAGTCAGCCCTTCTCTTGCCTCCCTCCTCCCATCTTCCCTTCCCCTCCTGCAAGATGTGGGACCCCTTTGCAGTAAACAATGTGGCCTTTGGTCCTGGTTCCTGAGAGCAGTGAGTGGGGACTGAACCGACCAGGAGGGGCCACCTGGGGGCCAATGCTGACTAAGCCTCCGGAGGAGAGATGTCATCTGTTGCAGCCACATGGGAAGGCCTTGAGGGCAGAAGCTCAGTGGAGCTTCCTGGGTAGGGAGAGCAAACATCCACTCTTAGAGGGGGCCAGCGCGTCTCCTGGGGACATGGAAACTGTGCTGAGATCCCTCCTGGACTTTGCCCTTGTGTTCATATCCTTTTCCTTCTAGATTCAGGCCTGTGAGTCAGTGTGTGACTCATTTCAACTAAGAATAGAGAAGAGGGCAGTGCCAGCTGACCTGGCCCCAGGTGAGTGGGAATGCAAGAGAAATGGCTGCCCTGGCAGCTGGGGTCTACCTGACCACGGAAGGGAAGCTGAGACTTCCCTGGGTTGGTTTGATATCAAGGATCCCTGGTGTCACAGTGGTTAAGCACTCAGCTACTAACTGAAAGGTCAGTGGTTTAAACCCACCAGCAGTGCACTCTGCAGGAGAAAAGACCTGGTGATCTGCTTCCGTAAAGACTACAGTCTTGGAAACCCTATGGGGCAGTTCTACTCTGTTCTATAGGGTCAGTATGAGTAGGAATTGACCTGACAGCACACAACAACAGCAATAGTTTGCTATTACAAACCTCCTCACCCCACCCTTTCCAGCCCTCATCCAGCTGCCTCCTCAGCCACAGCACAACTCTTCCCCCACAGAATGAGCCCCCCCAGACCCCCCAACCAGTGGACTCTCTCACTGGGCAGTGTCATTCATGGGAAGGCACTAGGGAGGATCAACCATCACCAGGGGACACGCTGTTTTCCATTCCTACCCTGATTTTACATCTGTGGGGCTTAGGCCATTGCAGAGCAAACACAACCTTGACTTTTACTTTATAACTTACATAAGAGATACCACACACAATCGTTTATGTTGCATTATGTTACAGAGTTAATTTCCCGAACGACACAGGGAAATGATGATATAAGTTAAGGCAGGCAATTCTTGAAACTCAATACATGAAGTACAAACTCTTTTCTTTATAAAAAGCAGCCATAGGACTTCCGGCAAAATGGCGCTCTAGGCAGAAGCACCATGCCATCCCTCCAGAGCAAAGATCTGAAAAACTAAGCCAAATAGTGAAAACAGCAATCCTGAAACCCTAAAACATCAAATGAAGAGATAAAGAACTCAGCCAAGCACCAAATGGAGTGAGAAAACAGACTGAGAACGGAGAGGGAGGAGAGACTCATGCAGAGGTCCCCTATCAGCTAACGCAGCGTGGATCCACCATCTTGGACTCCTATTGGAGACCAGCAAATAGGGAGTATGAGAAAGCAGCATCACGGAGCTTCCAGCAGGAAACAAAACAACTGGTAATTTGTGATATATGCTTTCCCAGCCCCCACCCTTCTTCACACCGACTGGGCCTCCTCTGCTTCCCGCGGCCACAGTCTCTTGTCCAGAAAGCACTGGCTGCTTGGATTCCACCCTCCCGCACTGGCCGACTCCCTGACTGCCATTTGTTGGCTGCTTGTGTTGCTTTTGTCTGCTTCTTTTGATTTCTTCCTTCCTCTCAACACCTCCCCCTCCTTTCGCTCAAATACTTGGCTCTGTGCACCATCTGTGCTTCTTCCTGAGGGGCTGTGGAGCTCCGTTCGAGTGTGGAACTGCTTCCCGGTCTGGGCTGCCATGCTGGGGGGATCCTGGGGCTTTTGTTTGTTTGTTTGTTTTGAATTGTTTGTTTGTTTTCTTTTCCTTTTCTCAAGTTGGGAGCCTATTCTGGCCAGGTGGTGCTGCATGGCTTGGGATCTACCCCCTCGCCTTGCACAGATGCACAGAGGGATCCCTGAGGGCATTTCTTTTTTTGTGTTTTTTTCCCCCCCAGGGGGCTTTTCTTTTTTTTTTTTTTTAATTTGTTTTGTTTTCTTTTCCCTCTTTTCCCTTTTTGTCTTTCTTCATTACTCAGTTTCTCGTCTCTCTATACCTTCCTTCTCTTCCTGTTCTCTGAATACCTGGCGCTGAATACCTCTATGCTTTCTAGCCAGGCTGTACTGCAACACCTGAGAACAACTTCCCCAGACCTCATAGCCACACCGGTGGGATCCCTGGGAGCTTTGTTCTTTTTTTCTTTCTAATTTTCATTTATTCATTCTTTTCTTTTCTTTTCTTTTCTTTTCTTCTTCTTCCCTTTTTAGTTTTTCTCCATTACATAGTCTCTCATCTGTCCACTCCAATGGCAAGCTCCCCTAGCACTCTTTTTTGTTTGTTTGTATGTTTTTGGCTCCTGTTCCTGTCTCCTGTCTCCCATATCCAGCTTAGCTCCACACATAACAATCTCCCCCTTCCATCCTGCCTACCTGCACCGTGCGCTTGACATCACACCACCAAGCAGCACAGGCATGGCCTACCGGAACCTGCCCTGCACTGATTACCGGCCTGCCCTGGTGGCTGTAGTAAGTGCCACAAACAACCCATCCTAGCAACTCCTTTTCAGCTAGACCTGCCCTGCTGTACCATATCTGAGCGACTGACACTGCCAATTGAGAAGGAGGCGAAAAGTATCGTACCCTTAGATGAGCAAAAATCAAAGAACACACAGCCCGCTTGCTCAGACATAGCCAAATTTTAAAAAAAAAGGACAAAACAAACTAATCTACAATCAATAAATGAGAAAAATAACAACTGAATGCCCCGAAGACAGCAGACAATATCAAAACATTTACAAAAACAGGACAGGATGGTTCCAGTAGGCATCCAAAATAACACACCAGATGACTTTCCAGTAGAAGAAACAGCACTAGAACTACCTGATAGGGAATTCAAATCTCTGAAACTCAGAATTATCCAAGAGTTGAAGCAAAAGAACAGACAAAAATGAGGAAAAAACAGACATTCACTGAAAAGGCAGACAAATTCATGGAAAATGCAGACAAAAATATGGAAGAATTCAGGAAAATTATGCAGGAACAAAATGCCAAAATAAATTCACAACTAGAAATTATACAAAAACAACAATTAGAAATCTAAAAGATAAATAACAAGATTTCAGAAATGGACAGTGTCTTAGAAGGGCTGAGGAACAGATTTGAAACAGTGGAAGACAGGATCAGCAGAATTGAAGACAAACACTTGGATAAAATTCTGTTTGAGGAAAATTCATAAAAAAGAATGAAGAAAAATGAAGAGACCCTGAGAATTATGCGGGATACAATCAAAAGCAAAAATTTGCAAGTGATCGGAGTTCCAGAACAGGGGGAGAAAACAGAAAACACAGATAGGATCACTGAAGAACTGCTGACAGAAAACTTCCCCAATATCATGAAAGATGAAAAGCTGGCCATCCAAGAATCTCAAAGAACCCCATATACGATAGACACCAAAAGAAAATCACCAAGGTATATCATAATCACTCTCACCAAAACCAAAGAAAAACAAAGAATCCTGAGAGCAGCTCGTGAAAAATAAGAAGTCACATACAGAGGAGAAACAATACGACTAAGTTCAGACTATTCGGCAGAAACTATGCAGGCAAGAAGGCAATCGAACGACATATATAAAACCTTGAAAGAAAAAAATTGCCAGCCAAGAATAATATATCCTGCAAAACTCTCATTCAAATATGATGGTGACATTAGGACATTTCCAGATAAACAGAAATTAAGGGAATATGTAAAAACCAAACCAAATTTACAAGAATTATTAAAGGGAGTCCTTCGATCTGGGAACAAACAACTTCAGCTCACAGGCTGAATCTAGGAGGCAGGATTGTACCAGCGAGGTACCAATCTAGGAAATGAAATCTCAAGGACCATCCAAAACCAAAAGAAATGCAACAGGGAATCAGAGCAGTTAACCTATAAATGAGAACAACATCAGAACAATAAAAGAGGGAATAAACAGTGTAGGTATAGAACCTTCTAATGGAGA